AAAAATTATTTAGTCTTTCACTTCCGACTGTGTTCTAGCTTGACTTCACCGCTTTGGTTTCTTTCTCCGTCGTCCAATCCAAATAGTCTTTATACTCTATCGGATGATACATTCGATTCAACCAATCGTCAGTTCTGTAGATTCTCGACCGAGGGCTGTGCGTGAAAACGGGTCTAAAATTCGCCCCGGTCAGTTCCTAGCATAATCATAATTGAGTCATTTGATAAATACCTCACGGATAATTCAACTCACCTTTGGCGCAGCTTGGATTGCGATAGCAGCCGCCAAGAGGAAGAGCAATGCAATTTTCAAGCTCACTTTGATCAATATCTATGACAAATAATGTTAACTAAAACAAAAATTACAATTTTTTTCAAAACAGGCCAGACAACAAAGAGATTAACTTATTTCTCTCACGCTGTTTGTCAGAAGCTTCCCGAGAACTGCGATCTGGAAGGGTTAGGTCCGCCTTATATCCGAATTTTCCTGCGTTTCACAAGGTTTCATGGAATGCCTGGGGATTTCTGAAAAATAATCTCAAAAGGTCAATCTTAATCTTCCGTCTTAATTAACAGTATTTAAATTGAAATCTCATCGCGATCCAGCCCTGTCTGTAACATCGTTATCTGATAATAACTGCATTTATAAAAATAAAAGAAAAACAGATATTAGGTTTTTTTTTAAATATATTCCTTTTGTATGGACCACAGGGAAAACATTAATGATAGATTTTATTAACTTGATACGATATCATAAAAAACGCATTTCTTTAATCACAAATATAATTGATTTATTAACTAATTATTTAACCACTAATTTCGTGGTCCGCTTGACCAATTAATATATTACAATTAATTAAGGTTTTTAGTTGAGATAAAAAAAAGTCAATGGCACGAGAAAAATGGCAAAAAGGAGGGAAAATACAAAAGATGGGGTTGAGATGGGAAGTGTCCGAGTGGATCGAGGTCACGATAGCTAAAGTGACGCAGCGGCGTATCTAGCCGAAGATCGTGGGTTCGAATCCCGCTCGTGCCATTGACTTTTTTTATCTCAACTAAAAACCTTAATTAACTGTAATAATTATTTAACTTTAAAATAACAAGTTTATTTTACTTCACCTATGATCGCTACCTGGGTTTTGTTATTTTAGAAAAACCAAATTTGATGCCATGCCATTGATTTTTTAAGGTTAAGGTGAAAAAGAGTCGGCCTTTTTACGACTTTATGCGTCTAGACCAAAATTGGTACTATTATGATGCAATGTCCATTATTATCGAGAACTCAAATTGCTTAAGACTTTTGGTCAAATCCCAAAGCTTTGTCAAGGATTTCCTAGTGTATCGTTGGCTTTTTCTCCTTCAGAAGTACAAATCACAAACTTCACGCTAACAAAGGTTCGGGTGTTTTTTTTTCTTTTTCCTGGCAATATAATTGCATGGGTTCACGTTTATTGTCTACACTCCAGAGTCTGCAAGGTCCAGGTCAGCTGTGTATCATTGCAGTCTTAACGCGTCCAAGGTTATTGAGATTCTGACACAAAAATCGGTAGATTTACAATCGATCAAGGGATCGCAGATATCCAGAGATAATTTAACTTTTCCTTTCATCCTACGATGGATAGGATCGTATAATTATGCTTTTTTTGCTTTAATTTTGTCGTAATTTCTAAACCTATTTCACCCACTTGGTATAATTAAGAGCCAAATAGTTAAGCATCGACTTAAAATTCTTGATTTAGTTCAAATTTGTTCATGATTGAGTAGAATAAAATGATTTCATCTTAGCTACTTCGGTAGCGACCAAATTTGGTCATCACCATGCAGACCCCACAAAGAAATCACAAAATTAGATCCGTTTGAAAGCAGTAACTCCACAAGTGGCTGTCTTGAAATAATCAATATCAAATCTTAAGTCTTAATTTTAATTAAAAAATACTGCAAAATAGATATTTTAATAATTCGAGCAACTTTAGTCTAGAAGATAGATTCCAGATAACTCTACTGTTCAAGTAGTACTATGATAGGGGTTCAAAGACCAACCCCGCTTCCAAGTAGTGAACCCCGGGAAACGTTCGTCGCCGTCCTGACGGGGGGATTCACACTGATCCCCACGGCATGGTACGGTGCGAAAAGGCTAAAGGGGCTCTGGTGTCCTATCCCCAAGTGAGGTACTCACTTTCCTAACCACTCCTCACTAAATAGACTCCTATCACCAACCCCTCTCCCTCTNCTTGATGAAATAGGACTCACCGATGTGCTTTAAGCAGAGCACAGGGGATACAATAGCTCTTAAAGGGCGCAGTATACCATACCCTGAATTATTACATCTATCTATCTATCTATCTAGTACTATGATAATTTAATAGCCAATTTTATTATTCTTTATTCATTCATTACAAACATCATTTGAGAGAAAAATGCTTAAAAATGTTTTTACAAACAATTTCTCTATCTAGACTTCATCATGTATCTCTTGCAAAAGTTAAATTTAAGAGTTTCACCTTCAAAGTATAAATTGGACATTTAATTTATATGTTAGAATTTCTGTTCGAAACGAGATTCATACAGACTGATCTTTACAATTTACTACATATTTACAACGATAAGGAACTTGATGGGGGCCGTTGGATTCGAACTCGGGACCTTTAGCTTACAGTGATGAGCGCCGTGTCAACGCCTAAACCGTTTCGACCACCGGCGCCCCCTTGATTTCTCATTATCTCTAACTCTTTCTTGCGTGAGAGTATATTCAAATTTAAGTTTTTCACTATGACGAAGTAAGTAGTGTGTAGTTTTAAGTTGGTACAATATTACTAAAAGAATTACTATTATAAATGGTTTTCCCACATGCCGATGTTATTTTATGTACAAGTCTTTAGATTAGTACAGTTCAGCACATCTGGCCATTTACAGCCCGTGCTTGTGATTTCCATTATACAAATCCAAACATATGGTTTTTCATTTTATAAAATATTTACGTTTTTCTTATAAACCTAGAATATTTAAATCGACTCTTTAAGTCTGAGCTGCTCTACATACCTGGACTGCCCAGACTCATTATCGCGATAATCCAGTTTGCTGTGGATTAGTATTTTCTTTGGAATACAGTCCATTGGGATTACAGACTCATCACTGAACATCATTGGCTGTGAGAATTTTTACCCAAACAGACCCCCCCCCCGACATTCTTCAGTACGTTCCAGGCTTGTTTTCATGCTGTGGAGCATAGCACCTTTACATTTTATACAGGACATGCTTGAAGGACCTCTGGAAATTCAAGTCAGAGCCCAAGTGAATAGGCAACAGAATATCTCATAGAAAATTATTTTCTTAAAAGTTTTATCAACGGTACCATATATTACAATTAATTAAGGTTTTTAGTTGAAATAAAAAAGTCAATGGCACGAGCGGGATTCGAACCCACGATCTTCGGTTTGATACGCCGCTGCTCTACCATCATATATGTACCAAAGTGACTTAAGAAAAATAAAGAAAATGATTGAAATTTTACTTTATTTCCGAAAGGATTCAATTAAAATCGGTTTAAAAATGTGTGCCTGTGGAATGCTTTATAATTTTCAACTAGTCTATATAGATGATACAAAAACAAGAGTTCAATATTTGAAGCGGAATTATATTGAAAAAATAAATAATAGAGAGAATGTCGGCCAAATTTCAACAGTACATACTATTTTTCTAAGTGCTAATGATATTTTTTTTATTTTCATTTTGTAATACACGTACCTTCAAAAATCGGCGTAAAAAATTATGTTATTTCCTTTTCTATTTACAAGGGAGGATTCCACCAATCTTTGGATGATACTAGGTCGATAAATATTAAATACATGTCCGAGCTCCTTGGCAATTGGCACTAGGAGCCTAGAAAAAATTTAATTACAGTAATTATTCTCTATTAGTTTGCTTCCATTAATTGGTAAAATCCTTGAACAACTACTCCTGAAACACATATATCTCATCCTTTGAAGTTCCGATGTCACTCGGTTTCAGGCGACATCACTCTACCATTCAACCTCAGGGTCGTAGACATCATCGCAAACCTCGGGTCCTTTCCTAGAAGAGAGGCACTCCACTTTGACAAAGCGGGTGTTTTCAAGACCCAAACCAACCTTAGTCATATTCTTCATACACTACAGTCATTCCTATCAATTCCGATCTCAGTTTATAAGACGATACCTCCATCCTGTCAGCCAACTCAGAACCACCGGAGGAAATCTCAATGACCGTCTCTACTTTTTGGAAGAATGGTTCAGGAAATGGAGGACCAGACTCAACGAAACCCACTACATCACCTTTCCTACTGTTTGGGACTTCATCTACAAAAGAATTACTTGGACGATATAATCAACTTAAAAGACTACCTGAAAGCACATAAAAACTTTCGCTCAAAATAAACTCAGACTCAGCTCAATGAAGACGATATCAACTAACTAAATACTACTTTACACTAGATCAACGACAAAAGGCTTAAATGACAAGAAATTACGACACGATACAAATTCTTTTACCATTACTTGACGATACAACTTCGTACAGAAACCAATATTCAGTTTAGAGCCAAACGCCCTCCGTATTCAAACTGCTCAAATCAAAAATCCCAACCACAAACGTAAATTTCACAATGGTCTTGCTGTAACTACAAACCCATTAGCTGAAAGCCAAAGATTAAGGGGGTTAGCCGATTAAAATTGCCCAATAACTATTTTTGATTATGAGAACAACAGGTGGGTCATTATGTTTCAAACATCCTGGTATTACTTTGCTCTAACCCCACCTAATTTGGAGGAATCACTCTTTTTCGCGGTTATTGTTAAAGAGGTAAATAAGACGATGATATATAAAATGAAAGCATGGAATAAATTAAACAGGAGAAGACATCCAATGATTAATTAATAGTCATTTATACGAAAGCCATTCTTCCTACTAATATAAGATTTGTTTGTGAAGGAATAAGATTATAATAATCCAATTTTGAAACGTATCAAATAATATATTTAAAAAATGTATAGTAAGAATGTAAGAATAAACTGTCTTTCACATATTTGATCCTGAAACCAGCCTCAATGAAGTTTTGTTATTTTTTAAATTATATTTTTTATGATAAGTTGGATTGAATTGATTCATTTTGGCAAGAAAAATATGAAATTACATGTTTAGACATTCATTTCCATCTGTGCTCTAGCTTAACTCCACCTCCTTGGCTTCTGGCTCCGTCGTACGTTCCACCGTAGGTCCTTTCCGCGTGTCCGTACGCCTCGCCTCTCGTCCTTCCGTCGTTGGTCCTGAAGATTTCCTGCCTACCGTCGACCCTGAACTTGGTTCCATCTCGATTCATCCTGTTCACGTCGAAGGAGGCCTCTCCATTCCTATGGTTAATAAAATAGTTTAACAACTGAAATCCAACTTATAACCATAAAAGTTGATTGGCCATGTAACTGTTTTTCTGATTCTGATAGAATATAAGTAACCTAGTAGGAAAATCATTTATTCTGTGAAACAACTTTGTGTGGCAATGGTTATTGAGTTAACTTTTTCTCAGCAAATTTCTCCTTTATGTTATGTTTTTCCTTTACTTATATTTTATATGCTACTCCGTGTGACAAATCAACAATAGTTTGTCTTTATGTTATTACATGTGTTAAATAACTGAAAAAGGTTTGTTCACCTCCAACTGTGGTCAGTCCTGAATCCACCCCCGGAGCTCTTTTGGCCGTCGTTTCTTCCGCCGAAGGTCCTCTCCGCGTGTCCGTACGCCTCGCCTCTCGTCCTTCCGTCGTTGGTTCGGAAAATTTCCTGCCTACCGTCCACCCTGACCCTGGTTCCATCTTTATTCGCCCTGCTCACGTCTAAGGTCACGCCTCCTTTCGGATCCTAGCATAATCATAATCGAGTCATTTGATATATGCATAATGGATAATTCAACTCACCCGTACATTCTGTGCCGCAGCTTGGATTGCGATAAGAGCCGCCAAGAGGAAGGGCAATGCAATTTTCAAACTCATTGTCATCAATCTCTACGAAAAATAATGCTAATTAAATCAAACATTACAATTTTTGTTCAAAACAGGCCAGACAGCAAAGAAATTAACTTATTCCTCTCACCTTGTTTGTCAGAAGCTTGACGAGAACTGTGATCTGGAAGGGTTAGGTCCGTCTTATATCCGCGAATCTCCCTGGGTTTCACAGTGTTCCTCGGAAGGCCGGGGAATTTCCGAAAAATAATCTCAAAAGGCTTCATTCTTAATCTCGCGTTTTAATAGAAGAATAAAATCCCATTACGATTCAGCCGCTTCTATTACATCACTATATGATAATAAATGCAATAATAAAAAAAACAGATATTTAATATTTTCGAGAAAAATATATTCCTTTTGTATGGACCACGTGGGACATGTTAATGACAGTTTTTATTGACTTGATATGAAATCATAAAAAACGCATTTCTTTATTTACAAATATTTTTGATTTATTAACTCATTATTTAACTTTAAAATAACACAAGTTTATTTTCCTTTACCTTTGAATACTACCCGTGTTTCGTTTTTTAAGAAAACCAAATTTGATGCCATGTCATTAATTTTTTAAGTTTAAGGTGAAAAAGAGTCGGCCTCTTTACGACCTTATGCGTCTAGACCAAAATTGGTACTATTATGCAATGTCCATTATTATCGAGAGCTCAAAGTGAAGCTTAAGACTTTTGGTCGGATCCCAAAGCTTTGTCAAGGATTTCCGAGTGTATCGTTGGCTTTTTCTCCTTCAGAAGTACAAATCACAAACTTCACGCTAACAAAGGTTCGGGTGTTTTTTTTCTTTTTCCTGGCAATATAATTGCATGGGTTCACGTTTATTGCCTACACTCCAGAGTCTGCAGTGTCCAGGTCAGCTGTGTATCATTCCAGTCCTAACGCGTCCTAAGTTATTGACATTCTGACACAAAAATCGGTAGATTTACAATAGATCAAGGGTGTCTCGATCGCAGTTATCCAGAAATAATTTAATGTTTCCTATGGTGGGTGACGATGGAGATATCGTCGTTTATGCTTTTTTTTGCTTTAATTTTGTGGTAATTTCTAATCCCATTTCACCCACTTGGTATAATTAACATCCAAATAGTTAAGCATCGATTTAAAATTCTTCATTTGGTTCAATGGTGAGGTCACGATAGCTCAGGTAGTAGAGCAGCGGCGTATCTAGCCGAAGGTCGTGGGTTCGAATCCCGCTCGTGCCATTAACTGTTTTTCATCTCAACTAAAAACCTTAATTAATTGTAATATTTAATTGGTCAAGCGGACCACGAAATTAGTGAATTTAAAGATCGAAACGTTGGCACGATAAAGAAAATGTTTTTCTGAAACCTACATCACACCAGACCGCATCTCACGATTTCTAAATAAATAAGCTTCAGGCTTTTTACCAGATCCCAAAGCTTTTTCAAGGACTTTCGTGTGTATCCTGTAAGTTTTGTCTTTTTCTCTCCCAGAAGTAAAAATCATTCCCACGAACGGAGATTGCGCTGCTTTTTCTTCTTTCGGGCAATATCTTTGCACAGGCTTATTTTTCCTGCACCGAGACTACACTCCATACTCTGCAGGGTCCAGTCAGCAGTCCAACCATTATTCCAGACCTACTACGTTATTGTCATTACAACGAACTAATCGCTCGTAATAACATCTCTAGGGGGGCGTCGGTGGTTGCAGCGGTTTAGTTCCACAATAAGTACAGGGATGGCTTGGTTATTGGATGATCTTCTTATGGTGAAGTACATATCGGACAAGAAGAATTGTAAAGTTTAAGAACTACAGTAGGAACTATCCCCTGTTGTACTTATAGTGCACCGGAGAGTCCTGATTCATCTTGAAATTTATTTACCTGACCCGGTAACAACGGTACTACGATCTTCGGTCAAGTGTAATACCATAGTTTATCGTCAAACATGTTTGGGGTTTCTCTATTTTTTGCAAAGTCTACACGGTGATGTCAACGCCGGTTATCCTCTGCCATCTCCGTTGTACTACCTTTTCTGGTCCTGATGCCTACTTTAATTTCTTTCCTTTCATTACTCGCAAGGATTGAATTGAATCTTCGATTGGTTGTGCCCAGGGACTGCTTCCTTTCACAAACTTTTCTATTTAAAGAGGTTATATGATTGAACGAATTACAATCCGGCAGAAGGATACGTGCCAGAATTGACAATATTGTTTTGTGTCAACAATCTTGCGACTTGAGCTTATTGGTAAGTTTAAAAGTGATCTTGGAAATCGATGTTATTGTCAACGCCGGTTATCCTCTGCCATCTCCATTGTACTACCTTTTCTGGTCCTGAGTCAACCTGCTTCCTCTGATGCCTACTTTTATTTCTTTCCTTTCAATAATCATAAGGATTGAGTTGAATCTTGGATTGCTTGTGCCCAGCAGTCAGGTTATATGGGGCGTCGGTGGCCGCAACGGTTTAGGCATTGGCACGCCGCTCATCACTGTAAGGTAAAAGTCCCGGGTCGGAATCCAGCGGCCCTGCATTCGAATCCGACATACTTACAAATGGGCTTTTTTCCAAAAACACCGGCACCTCGAGGGTTTATATGACCTCTGCTGTTGCGAACCTTCGTAAAATAAAACAATAACATCTCGATCGCAGGTAAACAGAAATCGTTTAAAATTTCATAGACTGAACATATCGTCGATTTGCTTCAATTTTATCATAATTTTTAGAAGCAGCAAGAAAAACAAGATGAACTCATTGGTCATTCCACTGCTATTCGGATGGAATATTTTAAATGGTTATATTAAAAAGCTCCAATAATTATATTACAACTCAGCTTAAGTGTGCCTAACCTGAGTTTGGGAGTGACTGGACTTTTACATTTCCACTTGCAGAACCGATCTCTCATACACGAAATGTGTTTATAGAACTGCACTTTCTTTGAATGTGTCATGCATCCATTTGTTGACAGTGAAATGGCCTTTAAAAGAGTTTTAAGTTTTTTAAGGAATAATATTGATGTTACTCTTGAAGTGCTGTGAATTTTCATCTTTCATTTTCCTTTTTTCTACTTACATGTGTGTTTTCGACTGTTTGCCACATTGTTTGCGTTTTATAAGGGATTTTCACCTAACGGTTTTATTATTATTACTATTTTGTCTGTTCTGGTTTCGGGTGGGTCCGTGTTAGAACGTAATAAATTAATAAATAAACCGATCTTTAGAATTTACTATATACTTATGTGAATAGATAAGGAACTTGATTTCTCATTATGGTTAACCTTTCTTATGTGAGGGTACATTCAATTTTAAGTAGTTTCCACTACGGCAAAGTAAGTCATTTTTTTAAACTGGTGTTATTAACAATTTTCCCATTTGTCAGCGATCTTGTATTTATCTCTTTAGATTATCATAGTTCATCATATCTGACCTTTTACAGCCCAGGTTCCAGAAAATAATTTGCATTATACAAATCCAAACATCTGTTGTTGTTTTTTTCTAAAAAAAAGTTTACTTATACGATTTACTTATAAACCTAGATTCTTTAAATCTACACTTTGGACCTAGGTTGAATCTAGCCTACTTCCAGACTGCCCTGACTCATTATCGATATTGCTGCGTATTAGTATTTTCTGCGCTTTTTGAATCCAGTCCGATGGGATTCACAGTCATTGTTGAGCAACATTATCAGCTTGAAATCGTGAATCCGTAAAGACCCGCGGCTCTCTGCTGCACGTTCCAGACTTGTTTTCATGTTATGGACCACTGCATTAACTTTATATTTTATTAGACCCATATATGTAATTAGTATTCATAATTGACCGAATTATACTTTTTATCTAAGGTCTTGGTTGAGATGATAAATCTAATGAAGCATAAGCTAGCAAGTGAAGTCACTGGTTAGAACAGCGGCATATTAAGCCGAAGGTCGTGGGTTCGAATCCCGATCGTGACACTAACCTTTTCGTCTCAACGAAGACCTTAGATAAAAAGTATAAATTATACAGGACATGCTTGGAGGACCTCTAGAAAAATCTTGGTTGCAAAAAAAACTGGACAGATGTACATGAGGCTTTTACTAATTAGAAATCAAAGAGTGACAGCGAAAATATAAAAATTGATTATCACCTTCAGTTAAAATGGTTTTTAAAATGGGGTGAGGACAAGTACGAGGGTTTCAAATCAATACTAATTGCACAAATCTGCATTCTATAAATAAATCAGTATTTTTGTTATTTTTAATTACACAAGACCGTAAGATTGTTGAAATATGGTAAAAGAAGAAATATTCATTTTTCCAATGGTTGTAATACCGTGGAGATTGGGTAAAATCTAGAAGACTTATGGTTTTTTATGTGGACCACTGGGAATCAGAGAAAAATGCCCTCACTGAAGATGTCACTATGACAAAATGCGTTAAAATAATTCAACAAACCCCCGAGTAAAGACGGACCCAATAAATAAACCAGTGCCGGTTCAAGCATGATAATGAATTTACTCGCCCGTATTTTTGCAAACGTAGATTAATTTTTTTTAATCAAGAAGAGAAGTTGATATTCGCGTTAGGGAAAGTTTATTCACCTTACATTCTTAAACAATTTTCAATTTTATTAAAGTAGGAAAATTTGTGTTTTAATTTATTACCATAAATGGTAAGCTTGTCGATAATTCAAACAAAAGGCTTATTTATCAAGATGGCTTAAGAAAAAACATAGTTCTGAAAAATACCATGGAAATAATTCACCCTCAACAAGAAGGAAAATTTATTTGAGTGTCATTCATTTCCGAAAGGATTTGATTTAAAATAGGTTTCGAAAATTTATGTCTGTTGTTAACAAAACCAGAGTTATATTTTCTGCTGGTCAGTGTTAAAAAAATAAATAAATAAACACACACGCACAAAAGCTTTGTAAAATATTGGGAGTTGAATTATAAGAATAAAATAAATAATTGTAAGAAAAACGGCCAAATTGTAAACGGAAACAAGAACTAAGTGTACGAAAACAAGAGCTATAAAATTAAATTAGCTCTTAGAAATTCAAACTAGAAAATGTAAGCGTTCCACCCCCGAGGTCTGTTAGCTTCATGGATGGTACATAAATTAAACTACGGATTGCCACGGTTCAAGAAAACAAAAAATATGAGAAAATACAGCAATGTTTTGCCTCTGTTTGCACTTGACCCGAAAAAAAAATCTGAGGA